CCCTTCATAGCCATGTTTTAGGGTTCAAGTAATTTGCTTCCTCTAGGGCTCCCTGATGCTTACAGTAACCATCTCAACAACTTCCTTAAAAAGGAAATATTGGATACTGAATAAAACTTGTTCAAAACAATGGGATCTATAAAGTAGAGGGTGATATTATTGATACCTTCCCAAAGTTAACTAGAAAAGTGGTAAGATTTATCCTAAGTTTGAATAAATCTTGTTCCTTTTTTTAAAATTCTCATTCCTTTTATTTGCCTGCTGCTAGTGTTAAAATCTCATGTCCAACCTTTTTTTAATGTGCCATGGATGTAAAATTGGTTTCAAATCCTTGATTATGGACTGACATTTACCAAGGTAATTATACTCCAATACTAATCCATTTGGTGAGTAAAAAAAAGCACAAATAGCTGAAAACTGGATGTAATTAATTGGTTCACAAAATTCACTGGTTGGCATAAAAGGAAAAGAGTTGGCTTTTCACTAGATTTCACCAGATATCCAGAGTAAGCAGCTATACAGGCCAATCACAGGAGCTACCTTGCTAAGACTTTACTTCTGGTTAAAGCAAGTATAGACAATGGCAGCAGAACTTGTGTGGAAAAACACACATATTCCAGCTATGCCTGAGCTTGCCTGCAACAAGTTCCACATAGCAAGAGCCCAAAGCAGCAAGTGGGAACATTATTCAATCATGACCCAAAGTTATAAGCAATGAGGATAGGTTGTCAACCAGTCCAGGTTCAGATTGACCAGTTGGAAAGCAAGAGTTTGAAGACTTCAGGTGCAAAGTCCAGAGAGAGCAATTGTTCCCAATACATCTTGTTGGGTAATAATAGTTTTTAAGTACATCAGGGTCCAGTCAGGGCTGGGAATGGCTTTCCTAGGCAAGAAAGTACTGAACACAGAAAACCTTTGCTCTGCTTGCTGTAGAGTATGGTGTGCCTGAGGGCTGGGCAGGCACTTCAGCTCTTGGTTCTCATCATCTGACTGTGGGAGCAACTGCTCTTGATGATTACCAACCAGATCAGTCTCAGGTTCATGATTGCTCTCCTTGCTGTCAAAATCTTCTGAATTAGTAATGCCCATAATAGTAATTTCGGCATCTAGGGAAGTTCTGGTGGAAAGCATTTGTACAGGATTATTTTTCAGCTTGATTTTTGATGTGCAGTTATTTCAGATTGTTGAAATAATTTCCTGTCAAAGTACAGTATGTGAAAAGTGGCATCATTCAATTAAAAACCACAACATATTGTCTACAAACTAATGACTTAAGAGAAAGAAGTAATGGAACTTTAAAAAGACTTAACTGTTTTTTCACCATAGTTAGAAAACCCAAATATTAGGGTGCAAAGTTACAATAATTTCTGGTTACCTAACATATAGTACTTCAGGAAAACCAAACGTTTCACATTTTGAGCCAATCTTTGATAGGAAAGTTGTAGATCCTCATTATAGTTTCACCGAGCAATATGGGCAGACAGACTCAGAGGATAAAGAGAAATGTGCAAGCGTGATCTGGCATATTGTAAAAATCACAGAAATCTTAGAGGCAGTGATGAGGTGGTTAGAGCAAAACCTGACCAGATCACAAGTTTCCCAGATACATTGATATGCACTTGCTATGCATTTGGTGAAATCACGTTTAATTGGAGAACTTTGAGGAGTACTGGATTCCAGCTATTACATATGGTACACACATTTTTTTATGTTGTTAATACAGTGTAACACTGAATATCTTTGCAAATGAGTTTTAGGATTTACTGTCTCACAAAAAACATTTTGCTTGTTTTATGTGCATTACTGATGTCACTGTGTTTTCTTAACTGAGTGTTGGAGTACAGATGCTATTCATTAAAGTAATAAAGTAAATTATCATATTATACATAGGGATAATAAAAATAAAACAGTGAATGCTTAGTGAAGAATTTTTAAACCTTTATTATTTCACTAAATGAGCCAGTTGGTGTAGTGGTTAAGGCGTGATACAAATTAGAAGATATGAATTCTAGTCCCACCTAAGGCACAAAGCTAGTTGAGTGACCTTGGGCCAATCACTCATCCCGAGTCCTAGGAAGCAGGCAATGGCAAACTATGTCTGAAAAACCTTGCCAAAGAAACTCAGGAACTTGTTCAGCCAGTTGTCAGAAGTCAAGACTGACACAAGGGCAAATTTTTAAAAAAACTATATTCAAATATGTTATGAGGATTCCTATACATTTTATTAGGGTTTTATGACACTGTCTAAAAATCTAACCAATGTGTACACTGATCAATTATGTAGTCTAAGGATTTTAGAGTTGACATTGGCCTTACAAGAATAAAATATTCTAGTTTTTCTGGAATCCCTGCAATATGTTTCTTAAATTGGCCTAACTCAAAGGTCTGACAAATCTTGAGTTCTGCATGCAACTGCCTTGAAAGAAAATTATGGAGAATCTAGCCAGTTTTTCTAAGTTTATTAGAGTTTGCAATAAAGAAAAAATATGTAGATGTGTACAGAAAGTATTGTAACTTCATTTCTTCTGAGTTGTGCTTAATCTTCTGAGAAGAAATAAAGTTGGCTGCTCATTAATTAGAATAAGGAACTGCATGTGTGCACCTGATCAGAAACGTGTCTATATACCAAATCTAATTACTTTAGTAATAAATATACATAGACAAGTGCAAGAAGTTTTATATTTCTCAGGCTTTAAGAAAGGTAGGGTGTTAAGCTTGGTTTAATAACTAGTGGCCTCACTAATACAGCTCTTGCACATCTGAAGTTTAGGATAAGTAATAATATATTCTTAAAGCCAGACTAAGCTAGCATTCCTAGGCATGCTTACTAGGACATAATTCAGAACTTGGATTTAATAACATGAAAAGCTTTGGATTACTGACAACTTGTTTCCAGCCACAGGAGGCAAATAAAATTTATGTCTCTATTTAGGTTGAGCTGTTTTGAAGCTTGATACAAATTAGGAAAAGGGAACTTCAGCATCTGGTTGTAGAACACCTTTTTACATTTACCATCTTTTTAATGCAATGGCTTGTTGCTAAAAAGAAAAATGGGTGGTTAGCATTATATATAGTACACCTTAATTTTCATATGCTGCTGTGTGATCACCTGAACCATTGTCTTTTTTAGCCATTTAAATCAGCAAAACTAATATTGTATTGGAAAAGCAAATCAGCTGGTATATTGCCTCTAAAATTTTTACCATATGATGTTCCTTTTCGCATTTCAAACTAGCAGGGGTAGAACCTGTCTGCACATATATTGTACTGTATTGTATCTTCTCCATAACACTATCTATCTATTAAGGAATTGCACTTGCATTTAGAAACTAAGGAAAAAAGTAAGGTATTTTTAGAAAATGAACATTTGGTTTCTTGTTATCTAAATTTAGGTGTAAATTTAGACAAATCAGTGTATAGTGTATTTCTTGTTAAGTAACTCTTCTCTGGAAATATACTCTAAATTGCATTCAGTAATGTAGTATGGAAAGTTTCGATGAGTAAGCAAAAGCATTGGATCTTTCCTTAGGCAGGAAAACTAAGCAGCTGTGTTATTTGAATTTGTTTATAAATTACAATTGTATTTATAGTATAATATATCAGATTGTTGTGGAAGGGATCAATATGGACTAAATAATTTTCTTTCAGATCATTGTCTTGAATGGCACAAAGATGAACAGAAGTAAAGATTCACTATTCACTAGAAACAGCTCCCTAAACACTATTAGCTAATGAGCATATCCTGTTCACTCCACATTTATTTTGAAATATATGTTTTATACCCTGTCTTGTTTTATAACTATGGTAACTTCAGATGTGGTTGTTGATTAAATAACCTATAACCAATTTTAAAAAAGCAAGAAGAATCTTGGCTTTTTACTACACACCATCAAAGTGTCAGTTTTGCTTAAGGCGGTTTTTCTGTCCTAAATAGATGAGAATAGGCAGTGTACCAGCGGTATTTCAGATTGCTCAGGCTTGTGGAAGCATTTATAAGAATAACATCTTTTGTGAGTTTTGTTATGCTTGTTGGCATCCTTCCCTTTTCTCTTCTGGAAAGCTCTGCCTGATTACATGGCACCTTAAAATAACTGATTGTCTGTGCCTTGTTGCTACATTTATATGTTTGTGCGCGCACTCGTGTTCACACATTGCACTAAGCCATGGTTTGTGATTTATTGACAAAAGCAAAATTGGCTGGGTTCCCACAAATTGAACGTTAGTTTAACTGATTTTGATTTTAAATTACCCAGGCAGAATACATATCATGGGTCTGAGGTACATTTTTTAAATGATAAACCTCTGTCCTCATCCTTTTGTCTGTGATTAATACATAAAATGACAAATTTTAATTTGGTGCTCTGCTGATTACGGCTCAAAATTTAGCAGAAACTCACTGTCCTACTGGGTCGTGATTTTCTGATTTATTTATTTTTAATGTAATGGCCTGTCCCTTCTTAAGAAACACTTACAAAGGGATGCTGCAGCTCAGATGGACCCAGAAGTCAGCCGATTACATTTCGAATCTTTGCGGGATCTCTCCGAAACCCAGACTCGAAGCAAAGTTTGGAGTTTCGGGGGAGAAAATCGCCCTCCATAATCAGTTTCGTAATCCGCGTTTTATAGCGCGACTCCGAAGCCAATTTCTCCTCGCCGTCCTCCCCACCCACTTGCTTTGACTCTTCAGGCGCCTGTTCCCGAATAACCTTTTCCCGCCAGCTTCTGCGGACTACATTTTTCCCTTCCCAGATTTCGGCCCGCCCTCCATCCGTCCCACCTGTGCCAGGTAGAGCGGCAGCAGCTGCTGATACCGCAGGCGAAGGCGGGCCTCGCTCCGTCGGGCGGGTGCGGCTGGCTGCTCTGCACTTGGCGCCTTCCTGGGAGCCGGCCTTGGCGCTCTTTTCTCAAGAGTTGCCTGCGGACTTGAGGTCGCTTGGAGGCGGCCATCGAACTCGCGTCTGGGACTGTGGGAAGAAGAGCCGCTAAGTGAGTAGCCGACCCGCAGAGAAAGAAGCGGGCATGGGGAAGGGTCGGGGAGGTCGATCCCGGTAGTGCGGGAGAAGTTGCGGAGAAATCCCGGGAGGTGAGAGAGCGATCTGCCCTTCGGTCTTCCGCAAGTACAGTATAGGGAAGGGCTGGGTGACGGAGGGCCGTGAGCTTGTGCTAGTCTGGGGACGCGCCGTTTCTCCCTCGGGAGGCGAGGCCACCGCGAAAGATGCGCAAGGCTGGAAGGAGCGTGGGAATAGGCTGGGTGAAGAAAGCGGGTCGAATGACCGCTTTGGCTCAGTCTCGGCGCCACTAGCTTGGCTTGAACTTGGAGAGAGTTATTTTCTCCGCGACTTTAGGTGCCTTTAGGAAGCTTGGCTCTTTCCGCGAAGGTGGCTGTTCTATTGTAGTTGCAGGGAATTTTAAGGCTTCCATCAAGGCAGCTGTATGCCCAAGGATTCACGAGCATGGCTGCGCCGAAATGCGTTCGTTCATTCATTCATTCATTCATTTATTTATCCATCCACCAATTCACCCATTCATTCAGTTTTTATAGCTGTCCATCTCGATCCAATTTGATTTGTTTGTGGGTCAGTGTGCTGTGGCATCCAGTCCAAATTGGGCAGCTGTGCTATGACTGTAAGATACAAATTCTTTATCCGGGGGAATTGGAGAAATTCAAAGACGACCAAATTCAACATTAGCAGTCTTGGTGACTTAGAAGGAATACCCTAGATTTTGTTCTAGTTCTTGTTTTTATTTTTGTGTTTGGCTCTGTATTTGGATGACATAATTACCCATGCCCAATCTCAGCCTAATTTCTTTGTGTACATGTTAAGCCATTAACTACATGGGCTTAGTTTGTACAGCCCAATAATCTAATATATGTGTGGTTAATTTGTGGCTTAGTGAGCAATGCAAATACACCTTAAAAATAAAAGATGGCCTGAAAATTACCACATGCACTAAAATGACCCAAACAATGTCTACTAAACATGTTTATTAAGAATGTCTCAACTAGACAAACATCAGAAAATCGTTTCCCTTTGTTTTGCTGAAAATTCAAAAATGTATTTGTTATTAATAGAATAATGTTTTAGAGATCTATTTAAGAAATTTAGATTATAGTACTATAATACTAACTGCAACTTATTTGGAATTAAGTTTGTTAAACTGGGGAGAGGTGGTATTTAATCTGATATCAAACAACTTGATTGTTAAAAAGTAGAGTTGTTGTGAATCAAAGTCGCTTTCTGCAAACGGTAAGGACATGTCCACATGTGTTTTTTTAATCAACTGTACAGAAGTGGTTTGCCCTTGCTAACTTGTGGAATATTTTCTGACTCTGATTATAATTTGCAGTCCTGGGAATTTTTTGTGCACTCCAATTAAAGTACAGAGCTATTCCATGCCTATTTTACGATCTACTTAATTTGGCTAGGTGTGCCATGTGCTTTGATTGCCCAACAAGATTTCACTTAATGCATTTTACAAAATGCGATATTTTACATGTTAAGTCACTATTTTCAAAGCACTATTCAACAAATACTTCAGATATAGCTTCTTAATTATTTTGAACAAATAAATGTTTGATAAACTAATTTTGATTATTATGCAATCTCATTTCTTTTCTTTCTTTCCATTTTTTCTAGTCTAAAACCCGCTCTTCAGAGTCTTCAAAGGAATTAAAAAAGAAGGCAGTTTTGGGAAAGTTTGGAAATTTTTTTACTACAGGGAGGAGAAAAAATCCCAAGAATACACCGGAAACCTCTTTAAAGCCAAGTATAAAAAGTATAAGACCTGAATCTCCTCATAAGAATTTAGCCCCTTTGGCATCCATAGAAATAGAGGACCTAAATGACCTATCTAAGAGTGAGGAATCTCTTACTGATTCGATTTACGAGCAGAACCAGCCAAAGACCCAGAATACCTCTGACAATTCAGAAGATTATCTCTACAATAGGGATCTGACACCTTTATATAATGACATTGTTTCAGAATGGAACACTAAAGAAATTTCTTCCGGCAGTGAATGGTCACTTGATTGGCATAGTAGTAATGAAACAATAAAAGATACATTATTTGATAGCAATCTTACAATTGGGACACTAGAAGGAGAGAACGAACTTGTCAACGATACAAATACGACTCCAGATTTCTTTAAAAGTTTATCTACTCTATCTGATGAAAATCTAGAACAAATCATATTAAATCACAAGGAATTAGTGGAGCCTCTTACATTTATAGAATCAGAATATGCAGAATCAAAAGATCAACCGTTTTTTGTGGAACCTAAGCAAGATGAGCATCTCCAACCTTCGAGAATATTGACACTGGATATTTTTCTTCGTAGAACTGAACAACATTTGAATAAACCAGTAGCTGTTGCATTAGACGACAATTGTAGTAACACAGACATAATGGATAAAAAACCCGTAATTAGGAAATCTGGAAAGAGGAGAAAATCTCAGAACTCCAGTGATGTGCCACATGGAGATAGAAATGCAAGTGAGAATACTGTGAAAGAGGAGCCTGGTTTTGATGGTATTCCTTCAGATATGGTTTCAGAAAAAATAAGCACCTCTGAAAGAAAACTTAGGCCTTGTCAACAGATTATGTCTCCCACAAATAATAATGACATAAGATCTGGAAGTAATCATAAGGGTTTTACTAAATCAGAGCTTGAGAAGAGCAAGCAGCAGAGCCCAGCCTCATCCCCTTATAAAAAGAAATCCTTAAAAAAGAATCAGTCTGATGCAGGTCCTCCTTCACCCTTAAACGTAAAAAGTCCTGGAAAAAATCTTTCTACCAAAAGACAGAGTGACGGCATAATGGATGGTAATCCAACATCCAAATGTACTTCAGTAGAAGAATTGCCTTCTGATGAAAACATTGTAGTTTCTCCTGTAGGCATTGTGACCAATAGCAGCACTTCGTCGCCTTCTGAAGGGAGGACAGAGTCTCAGGATTTGCATCCTGTCAGAAGTTCTGATGGCAGGGTTATATTGCAGGCTGACAAGCATACAAATGATGAGGTGGAAGGCAATGGAAGGCAATTTTCTTCTGATTTTGATGAAGCAAAGCCAAGAAATATATGCCTTGACGTTTCCAGAACAGTCACAACAAAAGTTAGCCTGTAAGTTTAATGTTTTGCATATGATGAAATGAAGTATTCTTATTTATTTATTAACTGTATATGCCACCCATGTCACCTATCTTTCAATAAGCTTGGATTTTAATTGATAAATATCCTTATGCATGCATTCTACTTGTTTAAATACTGTATAAGTGAATATAATATACTTCAATTGTCAGAAAGATACTCCAGCACTATAAGTACAAATACTTGATTGATGGCAATTAGAATATTTTCATCTTGTTCACTTTCACTTGTTCACTGTTTCATGAATGAAACAATTCATATTAGTGCTTTCCATTTTCTGTTCTTTGACTTCTCTCTTAGGAGGAATTACAGCTAGCATGGAGCTAGAAGAATATTTTGCTAAATAAAGGTAGTCCGTATTTACAATCATTAGTTTAGTGATTGTTCAAAGTTAAAACAGCACTGAAAAAGTGACTTATGACTGATTTTCACACTTATGATCATTGCAGCATCCCATGCTCACATGATCAGAATTTAAGTGTTTGGCAACTGATTTATGTTTATGATGATTGNTAGGAAAGTTGTAGATCCTCATTATAGTTTCACCGAGCAATATGGGCAGACAGACTCAGAGGATAAAGAGAAATGTGCAAGCGTGATCTGGCATATTGTAAAAATCACAGAAATCTTAGAGGCAGTGATGAGGTGGTTAGAGCAAAACCTGACCAGATCACAAGTTTCCCAGATACATTGATATGCACTTGCTATGCATTTGGTGAAATCACGTATAATTGGAGAACTTTAGTGAGTACTGGATTCCAGCTATTACATATGGTACACACATTTTTTTATGTTGTTAATACAGTGTAACACTGAATATCTTTGCAAATGAGTTTTAGGATTTACTGTCTCACAAAAAACATTTTGCTTGTTTTATGTGCATTACTGATGTCGCTGTGTTTTCTTAACTGAGTGTTGGAGTACAGATGCTATTCATTAAAGTAATAAAGTAAATTATCATATTATACATAGGGATAATAAAAATAAAACAGTGAATGCTTAGTGAAGAATTTTTAAACCTTTATTATTTCACTAAATGAGCCAGTTGGTGTAGTGGTTAAGGCGTGATACAAATTAGAAGATATGAATTCTAGTCCCACCTAAGGCACAAAGCTAGTTGAGTGACCTTGGGCCAATCACTCATCCCGAGTCCTAGGAAGCAGGCAATGGCAAACTATGTCTGAAAAACCTTGCCAAAGAAACTCAGGAACTTGTTCAGCCAGTTGTCAGAAGTCAAGACTGACACAAGGGCAAATTTTTAAAAAAACTATATTCAAATATGTTATGAGGATTCCTATACATTTTATTAGGGTTTTATGACACTGTCTAAAAATCTAACCAATGTGTACACTGATCAATTATGTAGTCTAAGGATTTTAGAGTTGACATTGGCCTTACAAGAATAAAATATTCTAGTTTTTCTGGAATCCCTGCAATATGTTTCTTAAATTGGCCTAACTCAAAGGTCTGACAAATCTTGAGTTCTGCATGCAACTGCCTTGAAAGAAAATTATGGAGAATCTAGCCAGTTTTTCTAAGTTTATTAGAGTTTGCAATAAAGAAAAAATATGTAGATGTGTACAGAAAGTATTGTAACTTCATTTCTTCTGAGTTGTGCTTAATCTTCTGAGAAGAAATAAAGTTGGCTGCTCATTAATTAGAATAAGGAACTGCATGTGTGCACCTGATCAGAAACGTGTCTATATACCAAATCTAATTACTTTAGTAATAAATATACATAGACAAGTGCAAGAAGTTTTATATTTCTCAGGCTTTAAGAAAGGTAGGGTGTTAAGCTTGGTTTAATAACTAGTGGCCTCACTAATACAGCTCTTGCACATCTGAAGTTTAGGATAAGTAATAATATATTCTTAAAGCCAGACTAAGCTAGCATTCCTAGGCATGCTTACTAGGACATAATTCAGAACTTGGATTTAATAACATGAAAAGCTTTGGATTACTGACAACTTGTTTCCAGCCACAGGAGGCAAATAAAATTTATGTCTCTATTTAGGTTGAGCTGTTTTGAAGCTTGATACAAATTAGGAAAAGGGAACTTCAGCATCTGGTTGTAGAACACCTTTTTACATTTACCATCTTTTTAATGCAATGGCTTGTTGCTAAAAAGAAAAATGGGTGGTTAGCATTATATATAGTACACCTTAATTTTCATATGCTGCTGTGTGATCACCTGAACCATTGTCTTTTTTAGCCATTTAAATCAGCAAAACTAATATTGTATTGGAAAAGCAAATCAGCTGGTATATTGCCTCTAAAATTTTTACCATATGATGTTCCTTTTCGCATTTCAAACTAGCAGGGGTAGAACCTGTCTGCACATATATTGTACTGTATTGTATCTTCTCCATAACACTATCTATCTATTAAGGAATTGCACTTGCATTTAGAAACTAAGGAAAAAAGTAAGGTATTTTTAGAAAATGAACATTTGGTTTCTTGTTATCTAAATTTAGGTGTAAATTTAGACAAATCAGTGTATAGTGTATTTCTTGTTAAGTAACTCTTCTCTGGAAATATACTCTAAATTGCATTCAGTAATGTAGTATGGAAAGTTTCGATGAGTAAGCAAAAGCATTGGATCTTTCCTTAGGCAGGAAAACTAAGCAGCTGTGTTATTTGAATTTGTTTATAAATTACAATTGTATTTATAGTATAATATATCAGATTGTTGTGGAAGGGATCAATATGGACTAAATAATTTTCTTTCAGATCATTGTCTTGAATGGCACAAAGATGAACAGAAGTAAAGATTCACTATTCACTAGAAACAGCTCCCTAAACACTATTAGCTAATGAGCATATCCTGTTCACTCCACATTTATTTTGAAATATATGTTTTATACCCTGTCTTGTTTTATAACTATGGTAACTTCAGATGTGGTTGTTGATTAAATAACCTATAACCAATTTTAAAAAAGCAAGAAGAATCTTGGCTTTTTACTACACACCATCAAAGTGTCAGTTTTGCTTAAGGCGGTTTTTCTGTCCTAAATAGATGAGAATAGGCAGTGTACCAGCGGTATTTCAGATTGCTCAGGCTTGTGGAAGCATTTATAAGAATAACATCTTTTGTGAGTTTTGTTATGCTTGTTGGCATCCTTCCCTTTTCTCTTCTGGAAAGCTCTGCCTGATTACATGGCACCTTAAAATAACTGATTGTCTGTGCCTTGTTGCTACATTTATATGTTTGTGCGCGCACTCGTGTTCACACATTGCACTAAGCCATGGTTTGTGATTTATTGACAAAAGCAAAATTGGCTGGGTTCCCACAAATTGAACGTTAGTTTAACTGATTTTGATTTTAAATTACCCAGGCAGAATACATATCATGGGTCTGAGGTACATTTTTTAAATGATAAACCTCTGTCCTCATCCTTTTGTCTGTGATTAATACATAAAATGACAAATTTTAATTTGGTGCTCTGCTGATTACGGCTCAAAATTTAGCAGAAACTCACTGTCCTACTGGGTCGTGATTTTCTGATTTATTTATTTTTAATGTAATGGCCTGTCCCTTCTTAAGAAACACTTACAAAGGGATGCTGCAGCTCAGATGGACCCAGAAGTCAGCCGATTACATTTCGAATCTTTGCGGGATCTCTCCGAAACCCAGACTCGAAGCAAAGTTTGGAGTTTCGGGGGAGAAAATCGCCCTCCATAATCAGTTTCGTAATCCGCGTTTTATAGCGCGACTCCGAAGCCAATTTCTCCTCGCCGTCCTCCCCACCCACTTGCTTTGACTCTTCAGGCGCCTGTTCCCGAATAACCTTTTCCCGCCAGCTTCTGCGGACTACATTTTTCCCTTCCCAGATTTCGGCCCGCCCTCCATCCGTCCCACCTGTGCCAGGTAGAGCGGCAGCAGCTGCTGATACCGCAGGCGAAGGCGGGCCTCGCTCCGTCGGGCGGGTGCGGCTGGCTGCTCTGCACTTGGCGCCTTCCTGGGAGCCGGCCTTGGCGCTCTTTTCTCAAGAGTTGCCTGCGGACTTGAGGTCGCTTGGAGGCGGCCATCGAACTCGCGTCTGGGACTGTGGGAAGAAGAGCCGCTAAGTGAGTAGCCGACCCGCAGAGAAAGAAGCGGGCATGGGGAAGGGTCGGGGAGGTCGATCCCGGTAGTGCGGGAGAAGTTGCGGAGAAATCCCGGGAGGTGAGAGAGCGATCTGCCCTTCGGTCTTCCGCAAGTACAGTATAGGGAAGGGCTGGGTGACGGAGGGCCGTGAGCTTGTGCTAGTCTGGGGACGCGCCGTTTCTCCCTCGGGAGGCGAGGCCACCGCGAAAGATGCGCAAGGCTGGAAGGAGCGTGGGAATAGGCTGGGTGAAGAAAGCGGGTCGAATGACCGCTTTGGCTCAGTCTCGGCGCCACTAGCTTGGCTTGAACTTGGAGAGAGTTATTTTCTCCGCGACTTTAGGTGCCTTTAGGAAGCTTGGCTCTTTCCGCGAAGGTGGCTGTTCTATTGTAGTTGCAGGGAATTTTAAGGCTTCCATCAAGGCAGCTGTATGCCCAAGGATTCACGAGCATGGCTGCGCCGAAATGCGTTCGTTCATTCATTCATTCATTCATTTATTTATCCATCCACCAATTCACCCATTCATTCAGTTTTTATAGCTGTCCATCTCGATCCAATTTGATTTGTTTGTGGGTCAGTGTGCTGTGGCATCCAGTCCAAATTGGGCAGCTGTGCTATGACTGTAAGATACAAATTCTTTATCCGGGGGAATTGGAGAAATTCAAAGACGACCAAATTCAACATTAGCAGTCTTGGTGACTTAGAAGGAATACCCTAGATTTTGTTCTAGTTCTTGTTTTTATTTTTGTGTTTGGCTCTGTATTTGGATGACATAATTACCCATGCCCAATCTCAGCCTAATTTCTTTGTGTACATGTTAAGCCATTAACTACATGGGCTTAGTTTGTACAGCCCAATAATCTAATATATGTGTGGTTAATTTGTGGCTTAGTGAGCAATGCAAATACACCTTAAAAATAAAAGATGGCCTGAAAATTACCACATGCACTAAAATGACCCAAACAATGTCTACTAAACATGTTTATTAAGAATGTCTCAACTAGACAAACATCAGAAAATCGTTTCCCTTTGTTTTGCTGAAAATTCAAAAATGTATTTGTTATTAATAGAATAATGTTTTAGAGATCTATTTAAGAAATTTAGATTATAGTACTATAATACTAACTGCAACTTATTTGGAATTAAGTTTGTTAAACTGGGGAGAGGTGGTATTTAATCTGATATCAAACAACTTGATTGTTAAAAAGTAGAGTTGTTGTGAATCAAAGTCGCTTTCTGCAAACGGTAAGGACATGTCCACATGTGTTTTTTTAATCAACTGTACAGAAGTGGTTTGCCCTTGCTAACTTGTGGAATATTTTCTGACTCTGATTATAATTTGCAGTCCTGGGAATTTTTTGTGCACTCCAATTAAAGTACAGAGCTATTCCATGCCTATTTTACGATCTACTTAATTTGGCTAGGTGTGCCATGTGCTTTGATTGCCCAACAAGATTTCACTTAATGCATTTTACAAAATGCGATATTTTACATGTTAAGTCACTATTTTCAAAGCACTATTCAACAAATACTTCAGATATAGCTTCTTAATTATTTTGAACAAATAAATGTTTGATAAACTAATTTTGATTATTATGCAATCTCATTTCTTTTCTTTCTTTCCATTTTTTCTAGTCTAAAACCCGCTCTTCAGAGTCTTCAAAGGAATTAAAAAAGAAGGCAGTTTTGGGAAAGTTTGGAAATTTTTTTACTACAGGGAGGAGAAAAAATCCCAAGAATACACCGGAAACCTCTTTAAAGCCAAGTATAAAAAGTATAAGACCTGAATCTCCTCATAAGAATTTAGCCCCTTTGGCATCCATAGAAATAGAGGACCTAAATGACCTATCTAAGAGTGAGGAATCTCTTACTGATTCGATTTACGAGCAGAACCAGCCAAAGACCCAGAATACCTCTGACAATTCAGAAGATTATCTCTACAATAGGGATCTGACACCTTTATATAATGACATTGTTTCAGAATGGAACACTAAAGAAATTTCTTCCGGCAGTGAATGGTCACTTGATTGGCATAGTAGTAATGAAACAATAAAAGATACATTATTTGATAGCAATCTTACAATTGGGACACTAGAAGGAGAGAACGAACTTGTCAACGATACAAATACGACTCCAGATTTCTTTAAAAGTTTATCTACTCTATCTGATGAAAATCTAGAACAAATCATATTAAATCACAAGGAATTAGTGGAGCCTCTTACATTTATAGAATCAGAATATGCAGAATCAAAAGATCAACCGTTTTTTGTGGAACCTAAGCAAGATGAGCATCTCCAACCTTCGAGAATATTGACACTGGATATTTTTCTTCGTAGAACTGAACAACATTTGAATAAACCAGTAGCTGTTGCATTAGACGACAATTGTAGTAACACAGACATAATGGATAAAAAACCCGTAATTAGGAAATCTGGAAAGAGGAGAAAATCTCAGAACTCCAGTGATGTGCCACATGGAGATAGAAATGCAAGTGAGAATACTGTGAAAGAGGAGCCTGGTTTTGATGGTATTCCTTCAGATATGGTTTCAGAAAAAATAAGCACCTCTGAAAGAAAACTTAGGCCTTGTCAACAGATTATGTCTCCCACAAATAATAATGACATAAGATCTGGAAGTAATCATAAGGGTTTTACTAAATCAGAGCTTGAGAAGAGCAAGCAGCAGAGCCCAGCCTCATCCCCTTATAAAAAGAAATCCTTAAAAAAGAATCAGTCTGATGCAGGTCCTCCTTCACCCTTAAACGTAAAAAGTCCTGGAAAAAATCTTTCTACCAAAAGACAGAGTGACGGCATAATGGATGGTAATCCAACATCCAAATGTACTTCAGTAGAAGAATTGCCTTCTGATGAAAACATTGTAGTTTCTCCTGTAGGCATTGTGACCAATAGCAGCACTTCGTCGCCTTCTGAAGGGAGGACAGAGTCTCAGGATTTGCATCCTGTCAGAAGTTCTGATGGCAGGGTTATATTGCAGGCTGACAAGCATACAAATGATGAGGTGGAAGGCAATGGAAGGCAATTTTCTTCTGATTTTGATGAAGCAAAGCCAAGAAATATATGCCTTGACGTTTCCAGAACAGTCACAACAAAAGTTAGCCTGTAAGTTTAATGTTTTGCATATGATGAAATGAAGTATTCTTATTTATTTATTAACTGTATATGCCACCCATGTCACCTATCTTTCAATAAGCTTGGATTTTAATTGATAAATATCCTTATGCATGCATTCTACTTGTTTAAATACTGTATAAGTGAATATAATATACTTCAATTGTCAGAAAGATACTCCAGCACTATAAGTACAAATACTTGATTGATGGCAATTAGAATATTTTCATCTTGTTCACTTTCACTTGTTCACTGTTTCATGAATGAAACAATTCATATTAGTGCTTTCCATTTTCTGTTCTTTGACTTCTCTCTTAGGAGGAATTACAGCTAGCATGGAGCTAGAAGAATATTTTGCTAAATAAAGGTAGTCCGTATTTACAATCATTAGTTTAGTGATTGTTCAAAGTTAAAACAGCACTGAAAAAGTGACTTATGACTGATTTTCACACTTATGATCATTGCAGCATCCCATGCTCACATGATCAGAATTTAAGTGTTTGGCAACTGATTTATGTTTATGATGATTGCAGTGTCCTGGGGTCATGTGATCACCTTTTGCAACCTGTTGACAAGCAAAGTCAATGGGGAAGGCAGATTCACTTAACAATTGCGTTACAATTGTTAACAATTGCATGGATTAACTTAACTGTGGCAAGAAAGTTCATAAATTTGAGCAAAACTCAATTAACTATTATCTCACTTAGCAACAGAAAGGTGGGCTCAATTGTGGTTGTAGGTTGAGGACTACCAGTGTACTAAATTATTATAGAAAATTCTGTAGAAATTCTCAATCATCCAGGTCATGGTTGTCCCAAAGGTGCTTTTTTAGGAGACAACTGGACTTTCTTGTTTTTTCTTTTGAAGAAGTTTCGTCTTTCCATTCCCTACTATCCTATCAGAGCTGAAGAAGTTCTTGGATGAGAAGTGAAACATCTTCAAAAGAAAAAACAAGAAAGTCCTGTTGCCTCCTGAAAAAAAGCACCTTTGGGATATTATAAAAAATCTTTTGGGAGTAGGAGAAATTTCTTTATGCCTCTTGCAATGAATGGTTGTCTTAAACTTTATTACTCATTTAAATTAATTCCTGGAGTCATTTTTTGTTTCTTTTAATAAAAAGGTTAGTCATGAACAGAGTGGAGCTGATTGGGAGTAGTTAAAGCTTCTTAAATGTTTCCCTGACTGTCTCCCTCTCTAAAATTTCCCCTTCCCTCCATCTACTGAAGAGACAATTACATTCAGAGCTCCTCTGTCTTTCTCTCTACTGCCATTATCCTCTCTGTCTCAGCTGCAAGTTCTAGTGAAGTTCCTTTTTCTAAAACCAGAATAATAATATTATGGAACAGTGGATCTTGTCATTAATTAAAGATAGCAGATTTTCTAAAATAGTTGGCAGAAATCTAGTTTTGGACACTTACAACCTTCCTTCCATTTATATTAAGCATATTATAGTTTGAATACAGAGTGTACTTGTGTGGTCTCCAAACCATCATTACAAGTTAGTGTTATTTTCAGGCTCAAGAACAACTTGTCTCTGTGTCAGATGATTTGATAAATTTTGTATTTGGAGAGGAAGTCTAGTGCCAATTTATACATAAATGGTACAAGTTCAAATGCAGATTTTATACATTATGTGTGTGTGTGTGTGTGTGTGTGTGTGTGTGTACATACCAGTTGCCCAAGCAACTGCACAGATTCTATTCAGTTTATAAATTATGAATGAAACTTTACCACATGGAGTTGTATCTTGAAAGATACAGTTCAAGTGAAATTTATGAATATGCAATGTTCTGAAACAGTGTTTCTGATAAAAACGAAAAAATGTAAATGGAGGTGACTTCCCAGAACAATGTTTTAAAGACATAGCTTTTGTGACCATATTAATTTACATGAAATCTCTTCAAGATAGGATAAGAGAATCCATGATATTTTTTCAGGTACAGTTGTATGATTTGTTAGAGAATAATGTACCCACTTTCTCTTCCAGGTTTAATTTGCATCTGAAAATTCACTTAAGCTTGCTAATTAAACTTGATTTTTTATTTTGAATCCATACACACATTTTGAGAAGTGGAATATATTATGGTTTAAATTTGATTTAGGAGGGAGAGAGGAAGCATAGCTGCTCTTTAAAAAAACTTAAAACTGTGCACTCTGATATGGTGATTTCAGTAGTAGATTAGGTCAGTTCAATTCAGTTCAGTTTATTAAATTTATATGCCGCCCTTTTCCCCCGAAGGGGACTCAGGGCAGCTCACAACTCGAACCGAGAAAGAGGGATACAGACAAGAGATTTAAAAAAAAAAAACAGCAAGCATAACAATAACAATATATAATTTAAAACTCACAACAGTCATACCATTCGAGACGGGGGCAACAGCTCTTTAGCCCCAGGCCTGTCGGAACAGCCAGGTCCAATCATCTCATTTAATTAATTAATTATCTGTGGGAGGCCTGTCTATAAACTTTGCTCACAAAAGTATAACGTTATATAGAAATTAAAAATTGAATTTGCATGATACAAAGAATAATGATAGCAGCATAAATTGGCCATACAATGTATATGCTTAATTCATTTTGGTTTTGTACATTCTCTGAACCTGGGAAGATAATTACAGTAATACTTTATATAAATTGACATACAATATCTTTAATCTCTGGTCTTAAACATATAAAGAGAGGGAAATCTAGCTACTCTTCTTAATAAGTACTGTATATCCAAAATAGTAAGTTTGGTCCATATTTACATTTCATGTAGAAATATATAAAATAAGCTTCTTTAAACACGTGGCACGACAAAACCACGCTCGACTAAAGCGCGCCCGATTAAACCGCGTCACTGACATCATCAACAGGGCGACAACAGCGAGCGTGGAGAAAGAAGGGCGCTTTAAATAGCGCTTTGAAAGCAAGCCGATTCAAGTTAAAGTAAGGGTTAGCTTTAGGGTTAGGTTAAGGGTTAGGGTTAGGGTTAGGTTAAGGGTTAGGTTTAGGGTTAGGTTAAGGGTTAGGTTTAGGGTTAGGTTAAGGGTTAGGTTTAGGGTTAGGTTAAGGGTTAGGTTTAGGATTAGGTTTAGGGGGGTTAGGTTTAGGTTTAGGGGTTAATTTTAGGTTTAGCGTTTACAGCGTGCTTTTTTCTCCGCGCTGTTGTCGCGCTGTGATGACGTCAGCTACGCGGTTTCGTCGAGCGCCCTTTAGTCGAACGCGGTTTTGTGGTTGAACCCTTTAAACATACCAAAACATCTTAGCACTTAATTACAAAACTGCACCATAAATTAGGGCTGTGTGAAGTATCAAAAGAAACATTTCACAAAGTCTGCTGTTAAGGAAACCTTCTTTCAAAGCATTGTGGTCGCCATGACCTATGGAAGGCTCACCTTCAAACGTCACAATTTTTCCAAGGTTATGTTCGCATATGTTTGCATGCACAGCAGTCTTGTTTAGTCAGCAGTTCCTGGTGAAATATTGTCATGGCATGTACATACATGCAACCTGAAAAATGCCTTGGAGAAAGTATGGGGAGCTTTCCAAGAGATGTGACTACTTCATCAATATAAGGAGGGATGTTTTATTTGTGCCGATACATGTTGTGAAGTTTCCATTTGAATGCTTTATGTAGCCATAATAAAAATTAAATTCATTTACATTTAATTTAAGTTCACTGAAATTGAACTAAATGTGTACAACACACTTGGAATTGCAAATATATTTTCTTAAGACTAAAACTGGCAGCACTTCTGAGTAAGTATTATTAGGCTAGAAAAAACCCAAGCCCTACTTTGAAATAAATTATGTTGAAATCAATGGAATGTATTTCTATGTAAATATGCTGAACAGGAAGATATTAGTGTCATTTTCATGATCCTCAGGTGAGCAATCAACTGCAATCAGTTTGCATTGCTTTCCAGTTCTGACACATCCATTGATATAGTTTCCAGCAAAGAATATGAATTATTGCTGTAGGCACCGAGAGCTTTAAATGGTTCAAGAATTGGCTTCCTTCACTTTGCTTCATTATAATAGAACAAAAATTTAGCTTCAACATCTTTCAAGGGATATTCTGTTCTTTTATAATTTTCTTTAAACAATGTTCCTTAAATTTGACATCCCATTCTAACTTTTTGAATTTATTGACACTATAATTATTCCAAGATGTTCCCTTTAGGAATTTATAAAAATTGCAAGTATGAAGGACTTAAACATTTCCCATCTAATTGCTGACAAATTAATTTTTGCAAGATTGTACCAGAGAAAGTGACAATGGTAATTTTCAGCTTTCTTTTTTAAAAAAAACCTTTGGGTCTGAATTAGTAAAATGAACATAGCGGTTTGATTCAGTTTATATATCTCTAAATTAGAAACTTTTCATCTCCTCTACTAAGTGTACACAATACTTGAATTTAACGAGTCATAGCAATGTGCAAAAGCACCTGAATCCTCAATTCTCGGTTTCATTAATAAGCCTTAGTATTTAAAGGACAAAGTGAAATAAGTTAATGTAAAGCTTTATAAGTTGACAAAATAAAGGTTAGAAAGATATTTTTGAATAAATGTCAAATGTATGTTTGTGTGTATATAATTTGTGGTAGCTTTCTAAAAAATCATGTAGATCTCAAATACATGTCATTCTCACCCCCCTCTCTTATAGTGTGTGTGTGTGTGTGTGTGTGTGTGTATATATATATATATATATATATATATATATATATA